CATATGATATTGGTTACACGATGTTGATCTACAATCTATTTTATATGAATTTGGAAATAGTTACACCCTACCCTTAAATAACAAAGCACATTATTTATGTTATACGTACTAAGGTAAAATAAGACAAGAATATTAGGAATGTTAATAGTTCAATCCTAAACTATAAAACCATAGTTTAAGATCAAAACTAATCTATTATAAAATTGAACTATTATAAACTATAACTGCTAAAAAACTGAATTGTTATAAATTAAATTGCTATAAGATAAATTATTATGAATTGAATTGTTATAAAAATTGGATTGATATAAATTAGATTATTATAAAATTGGACTTGCTTAAACTAGTCTATTTAGTCTTTATTTTTTATGCATGATCACGCATAATTATGCATATTTGTGCATAATAATGCAAGGGGTGCATAAAATATACAAGGGTACATAAAAAATCAAACCAGTTTAAACAAGTTTTATTCTTAATTCTAGTTTAATTTATATTTAATCTTATATAATTTAATTTAGTTTTTTTTTTATGTTTAGTTCAGTTTTAATTTGATTTATAAGATTAAATTGAACTGGATCAACCATTAACATCCCTAAAGAATATTACTAAAATTCTGCAATGAAATTTTTTATTAAGATATATTGTTTAGTAAGCAAAATTATGAGTTACCAGTTGAATTTTTTTCGTAATTTTATGTTACACCTGATTCTGTAATTTAATTGAAAAACGGAATTTGGCGTAATATACTTTGCCAAATCAGAGATGGCGTTTACACATCTAGGGATTGGTTCGGTCGGTTCCGGTTGGTTACGGCTAATATCGGTTATAGCCGGTCATAACCGAAAAATTTTAAACCATTTTAGTGTTTCAATTTCAAAATTTTAGGTTCTAATGATAGTTAAATTATTAAAAATGGCACAGTCTAGCTTAAAACAAGGTAAAATCGAAGTCTTGCAAAAATTTTAGTTTCGAATTATAACAGATAAGCATTATTTTTTACGACTATAGCGGCTATAGCCGTAACCGAACTCATCCCTATATGCATCCAATCAGAAGTGGAGGACAAATTAGGGAGCCTAGAAATACGTAAAAATCTGCTGCCAGATAACTAATAAACAAGTTATTGGTTGCGTAACATTTATCTGGTAGCTTACGATAACCAAACCAACAGGACTCGAATTCTTTTGGTGATTATGATATAATCATTAAAATAACTCAAGTTATTCTGTTGGTACGATCATAGCAGGCTGTTGTATAATTGGTAATATTCTTATATCGATATAACGATAAGACATCCTTAATTTTAATATCGTTCCAAAAAAGTAAGAATAAAAATAAACGTGAAGCCAATGACTTATTTTATTTCATATTTACGATTAAGTTTTTAATTATTATATAAATATTGCTACAGTATAGTAGTATAAAACTAAATTATTCTATTATTTTATTATACTTTAATGCAACTTATCACTTAAAAATTTGTATAAAACGATAGCATAACTATATAATAAATAAATTATAAAAAAAAAAAAAAAAAAAAAAAAAAAAAAAATCAAAGTCTGAGTCTTCTCTGATGAGAATCTAAAAAATAGAAAAAAAATAAGAATCAATATACTTGGCTTAGAGAGCTTTATTAAAATGAATAATTGATGAATAATTGATGACAAATACTTCGTATTTCCGTAGTTTTATCTCTCGAAGGTTGTGTGAAATTTAAAGGTTTAGATTTATAAGAATCCAACTCAAATATTTGATCAAATGGACGAATTTTGTAAATTGCCATTGGATTAATGTTGCTATTTGCTAAGTTTTGAGTTAATAATTTAAGCTCTATGTTGGTTTTTCTACTTTCTTCTGCATTATTAAACTGATTTGCATTTTCCTTTTCTAAATACCACTTGCCAAATTGCATTCTTATTTCTTTGATGCTTGGTCTTTTTAATGGATCTGCATCCCAACATTTGACCATTAAGTCTGTATACACTGATGGTGTATCGTCAGTTATTTCGGGTCTTTTTCCTCCAATAATTTCTAACATTAATTTAGTACCATGTGCTTCATTAGAAAATGGCTGATAACCTGTTGCAAGTTCCCACATTAATATTCCAAAGCTATAAATATCAGAAACTTTAGTATATTTAAAGTTTCTAAAGACTTCAGGTGCTACGTAAGGTATTATTCCATATGAATTACTAGTTTCAAAATTATAATCAGTATCTTGGCATAGTCCTATGTCACCGATTTTTATAGAACCTTTTACACCCAATAAAACATTTCCAGAATGTAAATCACTGTGTACTAGTTCGTGTTTATGAATCTGTTCTAAGCTTTTAAAATTCAAAGTAGTTCGAGAAAAAAGTATTTAAAAAATATTGCATATATCACAAATAAGTTTTAGAGGAAAAGTTACATACTTACCCTGAAGCAATATAATATAATTTTTCAATCTTGTTTTGCCATGTAATATTTTCAAAATTTTTTAGAAGAACTTGCTTCAAACTTCCTTCTTCTGCATATTCCATCACTATAAAAAATTCCCCTGTATTTGGATCTTGCGTATAACCATAACATTGTAAAATGAATTCTTCGGAGCTTGCAAGTTCTAATGGTATTGCCTATATTGAAAAAAAAGAAAAAGTTAATTCAGTTGGTTTTTAAGTTTCCGAGTTGGAATGTTAAAATTAGTTGTAGTTTGTTAAATGCACAGGAAAAAAGAATGTTCTCAAACTAAATTTTTTTTTCTAATATATGTAGAGAAAAAAAAATAAAGAAACAGTCTGTTATAAGCAAAGCTAATAAATTTATATCATCAACTACGGTATTAATTTATCATATCATGAAATACTATCAAAATTAACGAAAATAATATGCTTTAAAGATACATACATCTTTTATATAAGCTATGGTGAACCTTTTTGAATCAGGTATATATTTTAGGACCACTTCTTTGACCTCTTTGGAATTTAACTTCCAAATTGCCTTAAACACTTTGCCAAATCCACCTTCTGCCAAATACGTGATATCATTAAATTCTTCGTATAATATACCAGATTCATTTTTAATATTTTCAGTTTCTTTATATTCAAACAACATTTTATATGTCATTCCTCGGCACCATAATGTAAAGCTATCTAATTCTATATCCAGAGATTTGTTCAAATCGTCAAGTGCTTCATTAAACTTGCCCATCATTCTGTAAGTACATCCACGGTTTCTTAACGTATCAGCATTTTCCGGTTCAATTTCTAACGAATGATTAATATCTGAAATTGCTTCATTGTATTTACCTAATGACAAATAAGCTTCTCCACGATTTCTTAATATATAAGCCGAATTTGGTTCTATTTTTAATAATCTATCAAATTCCAAAAGTGCATCATCATATTTTTCTAATGTCATATAAATTTCTCCACGCAAATTTAATGCTCGAGCATAATTTGGCTCTATTTCAAGAGCTCTATTAAGATCAGAAAGTGCTTCATTATATTTATCAAAAATGAAATATGTTTCAGCACGACTAAGCAATGCAAAAAGATTATCTTGCTCTATTTCTAATGACTCGTTTAAATCAGATAACGCTTCATTGTATTTTTCCAAAAGAGAATATATATATCCACGATTTCTTAATGCATAAGCGTCATTTGGCAATGTTTCTAATATTGTATTTAGATCCGAGAGTGCTTCATTATATTTACCAGACATTCTATAAGCCATTGCTCGATTTTTTAATATGGATTCATCACGTTCTATCATTAATAGTTTGTTAAAATCTGAAAGTGCTTCATTATAATTTCCCATTATAAAATAAGCTTCTCCACGACTTTCTAATGCATAATCAGCATCTGGATTTATCTCCAATGCTTTATTAAAATCAGAAACTGCTTCATCATATTTTCCCAGCATTGTATAAACATCACCTCTACAGCTGAGTACATAGTCATTATTTGGTGCTATTTCTAATGCTTTGTTAAAATCAGATAATGCTTCATTATTTTTTCCTAATGCACTATAAGTTTCTCCACGATCAGATAACGTAAATACATTATTTGAATCTATTTCTAGTGATTTATTTAAATCAGAAAGTGCCTCATCGTATTTTTCCAACATTCTATAAACTTCACTACGATTGTTCAATGCAATAGCATTATCTGGTTCTATTTTTAATGATTTATTTAAATCAGTGAGTGCTTCGTCAAATCTCTGTAATGATATATAAATATCTCCTCGAAGAGTTAATGCTCTTGCATTGTTCGGTTCTAATTCCAATAACCGATTAAAATCTGAAAGTGCGTCATCATATTTATCCAATGAATAATAAATTTCTCCACGACTACTTAATGTGGAAACATTGTCTGGTTCTATTTCCAGAGATAAATTAAGATTTGTAAGTTCTTCATGATAGTCGCATGTATCATCTGGTTCCATCTTATTCTAACGAACGCAAGTCCAACTCCAGAATATCAAAACTCTTGTGCCCACACATAATTTTCATTGCTTTTCTCAGACCGTGAACACGGTGGTACACGTAACACGGTCGGCTGACTTGTGTGTCAAATACACGTCAATCTTTGTTCTTGAGTATTGCCAAGCCTCCAAAGGTGGATTAGTCGTGGCAATGAATAATAAAATCCCCGTAACTAAAAAAAGAGCTCTATCGGTTAAGAGATTATTTGGTAATGCAAGATAAAACTTGAAACCAGTTTTGTTATTTCGTATGTCAAAAAAACAGGTTTTAATAATTTATATTAAACAAACTGTTTCAACTATTCCAAACTTTAACATTATGGGCGGAGTTTTGCACAAAATTGATTAACTTAGGGCGTTCTCAAGCACTACCTCAATGAATTCAATAAAAAATCTGATTGGCTAGTTTAATCATACAGATTCGTTATTGAGTCCATTGAGGTAGATGCTTGAGAACGCCCTTAGCGGGTGGTACAATCAATAGACTTTAATTAAATTTAATATCAATATACGTAATATTGATATAATTTCGATGGCCTGGCTTTATTAATAATATATAAATAAATAACATACAATACAAGTACATACAAATACATGGCAAAACAATTGCTACTATAAAATGATGATTAAAAATTTTTCACTTTATTAATTGCATTAATTGCAATAAATTTTTTTATTCAAGCTTTTATAAAATCTGTAGAAATTAAATTAATAATTTGTTAAATTATTATTAGTTAAAGTTTTAAAAAAAAGTAACTACATGGATATAAAAATATCAAAAAAGAGGATATAGTTTTCTATATTTTTTTTTAAAAACTTTTATAAGAAATATAAGAAATTAAACAAATATTATACCTATTTAGAATACTTTTTTTTTTTTAGTAAAAGAAGCTAAAAATTTGGCATTTTTTTAATAAAAGAAAATACAATTGTTTTTTTTTTTCAAAATAGGTAGATTTTATAAAAAAAATAATTTTATATAATAAAAGTAAAAAGTAATCTAAATGATAGATGTCGCTTTCAAATAACCTTCAATTAAAATTTATAACGTACATCAAATTTTAGTACAAGTTTATTAAATCATTTTAAATGTTTTAAATATATAAAAAAATTTTTTAAGAAAAAAGATTGGGGGGGTTTTTTTTTTTCATCTCTTCCGCTTCAGATCTTTGAAAATAAAAAAAAAAAAAAAAAACATACAATGAATCGTTCAAAATATGTCGTTGTCTAAGTAAACATTAAAACCCAAGCTTTAAACATTGGTTTTTTTTTAATATATTTAAATTAGTTAAAGTTGGAGTTATCGAAGAATTCAAACGCAACGCAACAGAACTACAAGACCTCTTTAAAATATTTCGAACGAAACATCCAATCTAGAAATGACCAGGATATGTATAAGAAGTAATTTGCTGTAAAAACAATACTGGAATCAGTATGAGTTTTTTACCGATTAATTAAAAAATATTTACGATAATGCAGGATTTTAAATAAAAGGAATTCAAAAAATGAAAGCTAAATGAGCCTGTTGCATCTAAAGTAGCCACCCTATCTAAAGTACCCCTGGGCTAGAATTACGATTTAGTGCATGCATGAAGATCTAATTTCAGGGGCCTAATTTTAGTCAGGCGCTACTTTATATATCTAAAGTAGCTACTTTAGATAAATCGCTACTTTAGATGCAACAAGCCTTTTGGAATTCATTCACGCCGTCTCGAAAATAATAAATTACTTCTAAATGAGCACTTTCTGTAATGGCAATGAATATCAACTTTTTTCTTAAGTATTGGATAATTCGTTTGAATGTTAAATCGTTGCTAATGTTACTTATAAAAAAAACAAATTATATTCTATCGCTATTTAACTTGAATTTTTATCTTAAGATTGAACTGAGTATGGCTCTTTTTAACACTTGTTTGTTTAACGAAAGCGTTACTTTTACAGAGCAATTACATCACTTATCCGTTTCACTTTATTGATGTATATCTTAAATTCACAAAATTCGAATGAATGTTTTCATTAGTTTCATAATTCTTTAGATAAATCATTGAATATTGGCTTTACGATAGTGGTCGGCTTATCAAATTTTTTCTCATACAATTTTTTTTTTTTTCTTTGACTTAGAGTGATCTCAAGCACCTCTATCAATTAATTAAATAATGATAATAGTAACGCTCAAGCATCACAATCATTGACGATAGTTATAGAATTATCGCGCCTTTCAGTTTACTGTGACGGCCATCTCACGGAAATCTTCAAAATTCCCTAAAATTAAGGATTTTTTAAATTTCTCGCTAACAAATAAAAATCCTCTTCTATTTCCGTTATTCAATTCTTCATCAAGTAATGTACAAGAGTTGGTTGTTTGTACAGCCGAATAATAAGGAGAATCTCATGCTTTTTTTCGTTGTTCATACCCCGTAAATAAAACATCTCGGTAACCACTAAGTCAAATTAGATAAATTTGATAGAATTCAAATAAAAAAAAAGTTTACTGAATTTGACTTGGTGGTTATCGAGATATCTTCACTCAAATCATAATAAAAAGCTATTAGATATGCTTTATTAAAACAATCTAATCAAAGGCTTAAAAAAAACTTTCAAAATAAAGCTGCACCAAAATTTTCTCAAACTTTGAGCAAAGATTTCTTGATTACCACCAAGTCAAATTCGATGCATCTGTAAAATTCAAATAAAAAAAAAAAACTTATTGAATTTGACTTTGTGTTTTCGAGATATCTTCGCTCAAAATTTTTATAAAAACTTTCGTCAATAAATTGCCGCAACACGGCAGATTCACGATTTTGATTGGCTAACGGCCGTGATCTGCAACAATTGAAAATTTCCTGATGACTGAATCGATAAGTTACCGAGTCGGAATCAATAAGAACAGCTGTAATAGGCGGCTGCGATTTCATTGATTCCATTAGTAAAATTCCGTCCTAATTTCAGCTATGGTTAATTATCAAAAAAAGCTAATATAGCTACGCCAAATTTTCTCAAACGTTGAATGAAGATATCTCGATAACTACTAAGTCAAGTTTGATGAATTTTTTTTTTTTTGTTTAAATACTACAGATTTATAGTATTCAATAAAAAAAAATTCATCAAATTTGACTCGGATTGTCGATATATCTTCGCTCAAAATTTAAAAATTTTGCCGCAGCTTTTTTATGACGTTTGAATTTTATAAAACTTTGAGTGAAGCTATCTTGATAAATACCAAGTCAAATTTAATAAGCTTTCTTTTATTTGAATTATACAGTTCATAGAATTCAAATAAAAAAAAAGTTCATCGAATTTGATTTAGATATCTTCGTTCAAGCTTTCAAAAAATTTTTAATTTACAGGGGGTATATTAGCAAATTTCCAGTAATCACAGTAATTTGAAAACATGATAAATAATAAAAATTAGTACGCGTTGTTATATTCAAATGTCCTTTAAATTCATTTATTTATTATCATTTAATTACTATAATATCGTTAAAAAATGCTTAAGCTTCAACCGGGTCATTTACATCTCACGAACTACTACAATTGCAGATGTACTGTAATATGGATTTGTGCACACTATTCTACTCTTCAACTTTACACTTTATTCTTGGTACCGTATTTACACGTAATAACGCGTAATAACGCACAGGTGCGCGTTATTTTGAGACCCTGCGCGGTAATTCGAATCATTTTGACAAATTTGGGTTATATAGCCTAAAAAATCGAACAAATATGTAATATGGTATATTAAGGGCGCGTCATTTTGAGACGCGCATGGGCGTTATTTTGAGTCAAAAAAACAAATTTTAAAAAATGTGAGTTTCGAAATAACGCCCATGTGCATTATTACGCGCAAATACGGTATAAAAATTAAAGAACAATTATAAATCGGCATTTTACTTACCAACTACAGTAAGACCTCCCTAAGTGCACACTCCATAAGTGCACGTCCTATGTAAATTCTCTCTAAATGCATGGCATAGCTTAGCTCTAACTTATAAGAGCACTATATATTTTCTTCTCTATAAATGCACACTCTCTTTAAATGCACATTTTGCTTTTTTTTTTACTATGGTCCCGAGGGGGGTGCACTTAGGGAGGTCTTACTGTATTAGGATCTAGACTAGATAAGTTAAAAGACATATATATTTTGTGCGTGAAATTTGAATTTGAAATTGAATTGCGTCAAAGTGAAATTTGATTTTGGGATGCATCAGATCAGATCAATGTACAGTATTAACCGATTTTTGGAATAATTTTTATATATTTACGTACATACGTACTCTCCGATTTCATATTCTAATTTTTGCTATAATTGCAGAGACAATCTTTGCTATATAGGCTCCTACAATTCTTTATTTTTTATTCGTTAAATCTTGCAATTGTAAGAGGTATATAAAGAGATTTGTGAAGAATTAATCTAAATAAATATAAAAAATTAATACATTTTATATAACAATAAATTATATTATATGAAGCACCTAAAATAGCTACCGAAAGTTTTGTGTGAAATAAACGAATACTCCATAGTTATTTAGTCGATGCAAATATATGAATAGTATACAAAGAAATTTTAAGCGAACCAATTTTATTAATTTATTAATATTATTATGCGTATTTCAGTATGACGCATAAATGATAAAACCAATCTGACGCACCTCAGTCAATTAATTTTATGTAACTCAATTTTAAACCTACGCCTATTCTAATTTGAGGTACGACATATATAAACAAGTTTAATAAATATTGTCGCGGCTGATGCTGAAATTTAGGGGGCCCCATTTAACTATAATATCTACTAAATTCACATATACTTTTTTACTGACCATAAGAACCCTAAACTCTAACCTAACCCTAAAAAAAATCCCTAACAAAAGGCCCCAAAATTTTAAAATTTCATAATAATATAGGTCAAAATTTCAGCATCAGCCGCGACAAATATTTTTTTATCATTTGGGGTCTTTGCCTTGAAAATGACCTTACGGTACATGATACCGTAAGGTCATTTTCAAGGCAAAGACCCCATTTATTCTTTATTATGTGATAAGAAAATTATAAACACATTATACCAAAGATTATACATAGCGGAAAATGTGTCTAGAGCTAGTTATACTCTAAATTCTAACCAAACCCCAAACCCTTTTAAAAAAACCCCGAAAAAAAATATATTTTAAAAATCTTAGTAAAACGTGTTCAGTGTAAAATAAGAAAAATTTTGTTTTAACCTAATTCATTTAATCTGTCATACTTTTTAATTATTTTCAACTATGAGATTAATTTCTTTGCTAGCTACAAAATAAATTATGTTAAGTTTCAATTTTAAACAA